ACATTATATTATATAAAAAGTCAACAACAATAATAATAATACAACGGCGGCGGAGGGTGCGCACGAAAACACATCGCGCGCGAAGACAGAGAATGACCACGACGACGATTTATTTAATTGCATTTTCGTTATTACATGTAATATATAATATATATATATATATATATCGGAGGGGACACCACAATATACGTGTCGAAGGCGGACGGTTTTTATATATACATTTATATATATATTTATTTTTTTATCCCATCCATTATTATTTGCGCTGCGACGAGAAGAGCAACGGATTGTTTCACGTTTTTATTATTATTATATTTTTTTTCAATTATTACGCTTTACTTCGGGCACAGAAACACATCATTCGATTAACAATCGTTCTATGCAGCGGGTCCGTATACTGCAGCACAAGAATAGAATAATGTAGGTCAGGAACGGCCGTACGGCACACCACCACCACCACCACCCCGCCAACACCGACTCCCGAATCGCATCCGTTTCCGCCGACCCGCAGCGGTCGCATGGTATGCACCTATGGTGTATATATTTGATAGTGGGCCGTGTTGGACACGACCGGGTCGGCGGCCGTCCGCGAGAAGTGCGCGTCTCATTAAAATCGGAATATAATATTATGTATAGGTATGTATGAAATAAAAAACAAATTCGGAATAGAAAAAATCCGACGAAAAACTGGTTTCGTGTACACACGCACGATAATAATATTATAAATACACTGTTGCAGACGTGGCGTACGCCTCCGGCGCAAACTCGCCGTTACGCGGTATAAATAATATATTACTTTATAACATAATATTATGCCGCGTTCTCGTTATAGATAGATCGTTTATGGTATAAATAATATATATATATATATACGGACGTGCACTCCCGAAGTGGAGATGACTAATAATTTAATATTTATGGTGAGTCCGGTGGGCGAATAAAAATCACAGCGGAAAAACTAAGTAACTTATACAGACCTCACCAAAAACGAGTTTCCGTGGCTGCTGCAGTGCATTCACTTCGTTTTGTGATTAAAAAATCACGATCGCCCAATATATTAAACCGTCGTATGCATTCATATTTCATAAAATACAATATGAAATTGTAAATTATAATAAAAAACTAATTTTATTTAACACACGGATTTTTTAGTTTTAGTCTTACCATAACGTTAACACGATCCCACGTCAAACGATTCGATATTCGAATAGAGTTTCTTGCATTATTATATGAAACTGTCCGGAAGTCATCTAAAAAATTTAGCAAATCGATCGGTGGAAGATGCATAATTCGGTATCCGTGTTGGCAGAATAACTCTATATTATAATAGGAAGAAAGATAAAAATGAAAACAAATGTCCTTAAAAACATTCGTTAAATATGCGTCGACTGTCCATTAATGTGTATACTATGGTATACGTATACTTATCAAGACGAGCGATTATCTGCAGTACCGTAACATTCTAGACTCTAGTGCAATATAATAATACATCATGTACCAAAAATACAAAAATGTAATCAATCTCGCCGGATTACCCCGGGAGGCCTGGTGGACCGCGAACGACTGTAATATTACAATATCTCGAACCGGACGAAAACGCATTCGGTTTTACTAACAGAATAAAATATTAAACCGTAAACTATTACAAATTATACACTAACGTCTACGAATTTGTATAAACGGTTAAATTTAGTTTAATTTTTTTTTATCATCTTTTTACCGCGTTTCTAAACATCCCCCCTTCCCCCATACCACATACGTATTAACCAGCAGTTGTTTTTCAACGAACGTATAATGAGCATAATATATGTCACACGAAAGCACCGTTGTACCGTGCCAATATAATATTGTACTCTCGGATAAAGTCCGATTTAAAAAAAATCCGTACAAAATTATTAGGTATGTAATATGTATATAATGTTTATGAAAAAAATCACCACACAGTTAAAAAAAAAATTGGAGTAGTAAGAGGTATGCTGATTAGAAACATTTTGCATATAATTTGAATACCTGAATCGAAATACAACATTAACATCAGTTCCTTATGCTCGTGATTACCATTATATTTTAGAGAGCTGAATCGTTTTCATTGAAAAGATCTTGACGTATCGTCAAAGGTGCCAAATCATAGAATATTATACTGCAGATATCGCTAAAATTATAATTGATTTGTGTTAGTAGGTAATTCTGTTTTTTTTTTTTTTTTTACATTTACTATAACATTTAAATATTTAGAGTAAACCTAAGAAACGCATTATGACGCGAGTGTATATATTTTTTACTTAAGATATGCAATTAATGAAATTAAAATTAAAATATAAATTATAACAAAAAAGGTACGTAGGTAAGCGAGTAATATTTTTCCCGCGAGCGGTTTTGCTATTACGATATACCTGCAGAGAATTATAAATTACAATAGAATTCGGTTTTTTTGAAAAAATTTTTTTCGCCATATTTACTCCACGTAATCTTTATACTATAATAATATAATATATATTATTATTATACGATAGTTATAATAATAGTAATAACAATAATAATAATAATAATAATAATGATGTATGTAATAAGATGTTATATATACGCCGTCGGTAAAATTGAATAACGCGTTTTTTTTTAAACTCCGGTAACGCGAATCAACAAAAAAAAAATCATTAAAAACCTCTCTTCGATTATACGGCAACTGCAGCTGAAGTATTGGACGTTAAGAAGTCGTACGCTATTTATTTCGTATTATTACAATATTTTTTTCTTTGCATTTTATTAACGGTAAAACGTATACGCCGGATTTCGTATCCACACACACACACACAGAGAATTATTATTAATTCAGGCTCGTAAGTTCATGCATGTGCATGATTTTTTTGGAAAAAATACTAAGCGAGGTACAAATCCATTTCATATAATAATAGTAATAAAAATATAAAGTTAAATATAAAGTTTAATAGTACATACGATATCGTATATCTATCATATTTTGGATATTCTGGTATTTTTGGCATATAGCTAGTAGATTTTTGGAGTTATTAACTCATATTATTACATATGCATTTTTAAATTAGAAATTTTTTTTGTTTTATTATAAATGCATACTTATTTATGCGTTTTTTAGTGCAAGAACTTAGGAGTCATAATAATTATTATTATTAAAACAATCGATCGGCGGCAGTATATTTCAGCAGGTAACTGCAGTAATATAATTGCAATTCCTCGTGGACCGAACCATATAATAATATATAATGTGATACGTCGTTTTGTGTGCAGATAATATCATATTCGTCGTTCAGCCAGTGTATTGGTGTTTGTATTAACATTGACGCGAGTATATTAAAACGAGCCGTTGAACACAACGAGGCATCCTAAGTACATTATTATTATTATTATTGTACGAAATCTCCGTTATTCGCATATATTTATTTAAGATATTCGTATATATGTGTGTACAAAATATGTGTCACATGGTCCAACCGCAACGATTACCTTACGATATAGAGTTATCGTTATGCACCGGTGCACTGTCGAAGGGCGTAAGCGACAGAGGCGGCGCACACGTGTTAATCGACCGTTTCTTCGGACGGCGGCTGTAGGTATATAATATCATAATGAGCATGGTATGTACAACCTAAACCCGCGTGTCCGTATACCACGAATACCCACCTTATTATTATTATTAGTGTGTGTGTACTAAGACGACGGAATGAGAGAGAGAGATAAGTCGATCCGCACGAGTTACGTCGACGGTTACCGATGATAGCGCGATGACCAAGTATATACATCAAGTTAAAACGGCGATTTTCGCGCAAGAAGCGACACGCCGAGGTGGACACGCGACGAAAATGAGTTCACGGCGATCAGCGACGATCGCGGAAAGCGATTTACTAGAGCCCACTACTGCAGTACCATTATATGTACTGCTGCAAATCGACGAAACAATCATAGGACACGATATCAATTATTATACCTACATACCCGCTAAAAAATAATAAGCCGCAACCGTAGCCAGTGCAGGTCAGGGACGTCTTCGTGGAAGAGGGGGGGGGGCAAAGAGCGAAGTAACATCCCAAACATTGCAGCTTTTTAAAAAAATGTCTGTCTTTTATATGATTAATTTGTCTGAGTTAAAATTGTCTGTCGGTACAAACCTTATAAGAGGACCCTAGGCACAGTTGTCTCCACCTATAACTAACGAATAATATATGAACAATTTTATTTTCAGATCAATTAATTTTACAATTCTGTTTTAATTATCAAGTCGAATAATTTGACTTATAATCAAATTTAATGGTAAAAATATTTTTTTACAGACCCTATTACGGGGATCCGGGTGAATTCAATTTAATAAAATAACAGAAACAGTAACATTATACATTATTACGGATATAACACCGTTGTTTTCAGACATTTCGTTATTATATTATTTTGCCATTCCACTACAAGTGTGTCAAGAAAATAAACGAGACGGCGATAGTTGTAAGGGTCGCATGGGTTGTAGTTTTACTGGTTATAACATGCATACATCACTCTGCAATTTTCAGTCTTTCTCTAAAATCCATATTTATTTATATATATTATTATAATAATACATAAATCGCACAAGTGCAGTGCGGCGTGCAGCTGCATAGTAAATATGCAGACATGTCATAAATGCTCTCGCTCTGGTCACACGCAGAAAAACGAAACACATATTATAATATATTATATTATTATCACATTTTATAATAATATATATGTAGACACGGCTTAAGCTTGCGCTCGTGTATCATTTTTTCGTGCGGCACCAATTTGCGTTCAAGAAATTTTTTCTCTCCACCCGCATACACGGCGCGTGATAGATACTATTATTATTATACCGGGATGGGTTTTTAATATACCGACGTGTGTGGGCCGCCGGCGGTTATCGTGGTTTAATGGGTATACACCGGTGCTGCCGATTTTACAGTTTTTACAAAATCATCTTTTTCTAAAATTTTTTTTTCCTTTTCATTTCAGACAAGGCCAGCATGAGCGCGCTGTACGCGTGCTTCATGATGCTGACGTTGGCGTCAGCCACTTCTTTGCAAGACTGCGAGGCCGACATGACGGGGTTCGAGCTGGTTACCGGGTACGTGTTTACGGCACCCGATGACTTGCTGGACAGCATACCCGGCACGCTGATGTTGACCGACTGCCTGGAGGCATGCCACGCGAACGACACATGCGAATCGGTCAACTACGAGACCGGTCTGTGCGTGATGTTTTCGTCGAACGCCGACGCATATCCAGGTAAGATACACATGATGGACGGTTTAGGGAAAAATTTAAAAATTTAAAATTTGATACCATACATTTTATATTATTTCAAATAACACTGGACGTATATTTTCGCGGAAAAAAAATATTTATTATTCTTTCATGATTTTTTTTTTTTTTTTTTTTATCGAGGATTAATAAAGATTTCACTTTATATCCCAAATCAGAATATATCGATGTTTACATAAATATAATTAATATAAATAACTAATAAGTACGCTGAACATTTACAGTGTTAGATATTGTACCTATACCAATAAAGTTAGTATTTATAATATGAGCGTGTATAATCTATGAAACTATAAAACTTTTAATGGGGGACGAGGTGGCCGAGCGGTCTAACGCGTCGGCCGCGGCGCTGGCAGTCGCGGGTTCGATTCTCGACCACCGGGCGGCATTTTTTTCCGGGCAAGTCACGGTGTCCGGAAAACAAGTGCCGCCATCCCCCCACTCCGGGGCATGGCAGAAACCTACGGGTGCCCCAATAAAAATTCTGCCACCACAAACACACGTGTTTACAAACCAACAGTTCCCTCCCCTACAAACCAAACAAACAAACAAACAAAAAAAACAGCTAATGGCCATAGTTGCCGGGCTTAATGATCAATGAAAAAAAAAAAAAAAAAAAAAAAAAAAAACTTTTAATACCGCTATGCCAAGTCATAACTTAAAATAAAAATATTTCAAAATTCATTATATTTTATAATATAGCCTAAAAGTAACAAAAATATAGTTCCAACGTACGAAATTAAAATAACGGGTCCGTCGTCGTTCAAAAAAAACCCTAAAAAATCGTCACGATTACAAAAATTAGATTGTTCCCGCAAGGGAGAAACCTAGTATTTTAGTATATAATATAGAATGTTACGAGCCCATGCAGAGAACACACACGAAAAGTTTTACCGGAACGACGAGTGTTCCGTGTTAAGAGAATCGGCCTGTATAGTATTATATTATTACATTAGGCTTATAATAATATATATGCGCGTAGACGATAATTACACGCATGGGTATAATAATAACAACACGATATCACACACATGATGCATATATATATGGAATACGCGCGAACACTGCACGGTGCGTGTCTGGGATGATATCTTGTGAGTTGGCATGACCAGGGGGTGAGTAGGAGGGAGGATAAAAGGTGCGCGGGCGTGGATATCGTGGGAGTGTCGACGCTGCTTCTATCCGGTTATAGGTCGGTAGCACGAACGCGCGCCACATTTATATGTATATATTATACATACTGTACATGGATAGATAGTGCCGTGTCGTCGTGATGCGCCAAAGTCGTCTTAACCCCCTCGAGCTTTATATACAAAATATACAAATGCATATGCCTATTATATTATGCGCGTTTTCTCAGCGGAGGTCGACCTCTATCGGTTCTAATAATCAATTCTAATATCGCACACTCGCTAAACGCGCAGTCTCTGTAAACATCAGAAAGCTGTATATATAATATATAATATAGGTATGCGACCATAACCTGGTTAACGACTGTCGGGTCATAATATATTATACTATACTATACTATTCTATATTATAATATTTTCGCGTCCTCATCCAGCCGGTAAACGGTTCTCCAACGCGAACTCACACCTATGAAGTGGCGTGGTCGTGATTTAAATAAACCAAATTGGCGTTACGAGTGGTACACGCGTTTCTCCGATATCGAGCGTCACGGAAAACGACTCAATTTCCATCTTACAAATCGCATTCATGATCGCAGTACGACGAATATATATTAAAATACTTATAGGAAAACGTACAAATACTTTATAGCGTAGATACCAACCTATGGGTAAACAAAGTGCGTTTATTCTACATTATTCTTGACGAACAGTTCAATTATTGTGAATGTCACATGAACGTTCGAATTCGAATTTGACCAGACGGCTACATTACGATACGGCAATCTCCTAGAGTAATGATTTACAGAGTCTTCAAAATTGTGTGTGATAAAAAAAGGTTTGAAGATTATTACTATTCAAAATTTGAATTGGACTTGTCCCGTTTTCCAATAAATGTATAAATAATCCCCACAATTTTTTTCAAGCGAAATTTGTAAGACTGTGTTAATAGTTAACTTAGTTATTAATATTAATAGCAATATTTTTGTAAATTTTGAGTATAATAATATATAACAGCTGCAGTATAAGTACATTAAGCGCATTATAAATAATAGGTATTCGCGTACAAAAAGCTATAATTGGGCAACAAAAAATGTAAACAGATTGGATTTTCAGCGAATTAGATGATGATAAATGCACGACCAAAGAGTAACTGCAACAGTGGGCGGAGCGGTATTCGGCCGTTTATGCATTTTCGCGGAACAAACAATTTATGACTTTGGCCGCCAAGGGGTTTTTTTTCGCTTCGTCGATAATATTTCGTTATTTTTGTCGGATGTCGACGACCGCGAGATGCGCGAAAAACGGGATAACGCGATAATCGGCCGGCGGTCATGTTCGGACACGGTTTAAACCGAAGCGATTATTATTATTATTATTATTATTATTATTACTATCACGATATTTTGTTGTTGTTATTATTATTATTATTATATAATATATATACGTATATTTATACACGCCTCCGTGTATTCAGGCGAGGATTTTCTTTATCAATTGTACGTGTCCTTAGCCCAATCATTGATTATTGCCTAAACGCCGCGGCGGTGTGCCTCAGGCGCAGCCGATTAACCGCGTGATAAACGGTGCCTCCCCGCCCATCCCACAGATCAACGAAAACGACGAACGGTTCAATTGATTTCGTCGACAAACGAGTGCGAGACGTGTGCAGTGACATCTCATATTATTATTTAAGCTTAATACAAAAATTAATTCAAGTTTTACCAATAGGTACCTAGACTAACCTGGGTGCAATTAGGTTTCGGGTCCACCTATTCAGGCTAAATCAGAATGTTCACACGTATCGTAATTAATTCTATAGAAGAATTTCAAGAACAAATATCATAATTCATAATAATTAAATACCTATTGAAAAAATGGATCCGGGACAGTGGTGTACCTGAATAGCCTATCTAAAACGCCGCGCGATCATAATACTTATTTGTATTATTAAAATCCATTAGAGACAAATAAACGCTATAATTATGAGACACCGTAAAAACGATACCGCAGCATAATATTATTATATTATATTAAATATATATTATATAATTGTATAGTACCGCATATAGAATAAATCTAAGCCCTGTATGTGCTTCGTATATTTCTCGGCTAATCAGCACACCACTGCATTTGTTCAATACACCGTTCCTCGTAACTATATTATATACATAATATTGTAATACCTCGCAGGACTTTCCGAACAACCGATATTTTACATTAAAATACGCGTCACGTTTATGAGCCCCGGAGATGCGCGTTCAGATACGCACGGCGACAAGCTATACATACAGTACCCATATTATTATATTTAACACGCACGATTTTCTTATTTACTCATTTATACTTTTTTTTTATAGGAGCGTTGAGCAAGTCACAGTTTCCGGTGTTTACGATATACGCACAAAAGACATGTTTGGGTATAAAACCATGTGAACGAGCCTGGTGTTTCGACCGGGTGCAGGGTTACAAGCTCAAAGGGTTTGGCAAGAAGAAGCTAGCCGCAACGTCGAGACAGGACTGCTTGGAGCTGTGTCTAGGCGAAAGAGAATTTTCTTGTCGGTAAGTAAAATCGGATATTAATATTAAACTCTCTTTAAAAAAAAATTAAAATTAACTTCTATGGCCTTATATATACTTTGCTATAAGATCAGTTTAATAATACATGAAAACTTTGAAGATTTGAACACGTGAAAACCTCGAAAACAATCGTTATATTTTGAGCATGATTTGAGCACTAAAAACGGTGTTCTTAATCAGAATAATCTTAAAAATATAATAGTAAGAAACCGTAGACTAAAAAAAACTGAATTAATCAAAGAATTTATGATAAAAGTGATCTGCTACTGAAGGTTTTACAAATGGCTTAAAATGATAGGTGAATAAAAACGAATTAAAAGAACAATATAATACGACTGCACCACACTCAATAAAACTATAGAATCTTCGAAATTCGCTTTATCGTCGTACGAAAAACACGTTTTTATATCAATATCGAGCTTTAAAGAGTTCGTCAATAGTGTTAACTCGGTTTGCATAATCGACTACGGACAGGATCACATTGTTTCCCTCGATCACGATCGTCAAACAATGAACACTGAAAACAACACTTAATGCACCTCGCACGCAAACGTTTCTTTAACGGTATCCAAATCAATGATAGAGGAGGTAAACAAATTATAGAGCTTATACTAAAATCACGGGAAAACGAATATCGTTTTTTTTTCACGAGCACATCTCCACACACATTCAACAATAGTTTTGAATCGAATCGTTTTGCACGTAAAAATATAAAAGTGATAGGATTAGTCACGTGTTACAAATTTCAAAATATTTATATTATTAATTTAACGGTCCTATAATAACAATTCCGTAAGTGTATGTAAGATAAAAAAAAAACAAACAACGTGTACACAGGTACATTTTACACGAAAAACTAATAACATTATCATAACTATTATAATAACTGTATAGTATAATTTATACACAGAGTATATGACCATATTATAACAGTCCGTTCACCCACCCACGCATATAATATGAACGCGTACGCGAAGTTTATCCGAAAAGGTAATAATTGACATTCCATCAGATCGATATAATATGCGCAGGTGTGTCGTGTGTACCACCACCCATCCCCCAATCCATTCATCGATCGTGTCACATTAAGCCGATCGATTTCCAAAGTGCACGATTTTATTTAATTATTATCACCGTGCTGAAATTGCAATCCTCTGGGAATAAAAAAAAAATGTAACGAAAACGTGTAAAACGGGAATAATGCGCGTTGGAAACATTCCAATAACGTTTCGACTATTATATGTACGAGTACGACGACGGTCACTGTAATACATGTATATAATATTCACGGACATATTGTTGTACGAACATATAGGTATATAATGTTATAAGTGTGAATAAAAAAAAACGTGTCTCTGACCGAATAACGTATGAAAATGAAGACGGATTATTATTATTATTATTATTGTAGTTGATGTCGCATACATATTTTATAAATTTACGATTTACCTATGTAGCGTGTGGTATTCTCATGATATTATATTTTATGATAATAATAATAGTGTAGGTATATATATATATATATACAATATAAGTTTACGTATCTGAATCGGATCATCGGGAGGGAAAGAACCGCGTCCCATCCAGCAACAGTCCGAGCGGATAATGGAAATTAAAACGTGTCATTGACTCGCCGGGACGTCCGCATGACAAATCCAATAGAAAATTCAAATAAATAATAATATCACATCGCGTCGTTTTATATTATTATAATACGTTTCTGAGTATTCGATTCCTATTCACATGATATTATGTTATACTATATTACGCGTTTGTTGCGTCATTTTCCGCGTGTGTGATGGTGTTTCGCTTCAACCGATTTGTCGTCGTCGTGTTCGGTGTGTAATATTTATTATATTAATGAGTTTATCGGCCTACTAAGCGCCGGGACTGCGGGCGAAACGCACAACGGCAGATTTGCACGGAACGGAGCGGTTTGCGTCGACGGTTCTCTCGGGGCGACACGACGAAGGTTACCGGAAACCGGTTAGTCGTCATCGGCGTGGTCGTCGGAGCTTGTTCACCTACTGCTGCAGCTGCCTCTGCTGCCCTACTGGCGCACATTTTAATATCGTGCTGCAGTATAATAATATTATTATATTATTGTAATATCCTCTGACATTTTTAGTGTTTTGCGAAAATTCGATTTTACCGTAAACCGGAATTTTCGGAATGTCTTCTTCTACATTTATTATTATTTAAGGCTGACGTATATAATATGCGCATAAGTTAGATAAACACGACACGAAAGTTTCGTCGTTTACGTTTAAAATCGCAATCGTCCGATTACTACAACCGTAGATAGGGCCGCGCGTGTAGGTGTACGATTCGCCTGTAAATTAACGACAACAAGAATTTTCACCGTTAATTCGTTGTTACGATCACTTCGTGGCCGCCGAGGTGTCGGAATACTTCAATGAATGGTAGACTCTTCAATGATATTTTTATAGGAGTTCCGCGTAACAAAAACGTACATAGGGTTATTATTTAACCGTTACAACCGACGACGTTATTATGTGGTAGCCAATTACTTGTGTATACATGGCATATGATTCACTACTAAAGATGATGTTCGTTTTACTTAATAATTTATTTATTATTACCTACCTACTCTTTTTTTAAACTATTACAGTTATAACTAGTTAACTATCTCAGTTATCGATTGTTCGTTGGCCTGTTCGGTCGTTTTTGCGTACTCATCGCTCTCTTATCTGTGTTTTACACATTTTGTTGCTCTATTAACGTGATAAAGTCAGTAATAATAGTATATCTATATTGTATTTTACCTTATCCAAAAATGCTATGTTTAGTGTGTAATGATGAAATTTTCGACGGTGATGAAATTAAATGCAAAAACTGTAAAGAATATTTACACTTCTCATGTGCTAGTTTTAGAGAAGCGGCATTTAGAAAATTAACACATGAAGCCAAACTAAAATTTTCGTGCTCAAAATGCAAAGCTAAAGTGGGTCTATCTAGCAATATTAAATCCAAAAATGAAGACGTTTTTGTTGGATCAAACGAGACTCTGTCGGATTTAACAAATTCTGTTAAATTTATGAGTGCCAAATTTGATGATTTTGGTAAGCAGCTCAAAGAAGTACTACTTAATATTAAAGAACTAAAGGAGGAGAATAAATTGTTAAAAGAAAATAATATTAAGTTGAACTCTGATATCTACAATCTATCCAAGCGACTAAATTTATTAGAACAGAAATCAATCTTAAATCATGTTGAGATAATTGGTGTACCAGATTTGAAAAATGAAAATAAAAATTGCGAAAAAATAGTGGAAGATATCGCAGCTGTAATGGGTCAACAAGTGTCAGTAATTAAGGCTTTTCATATAAGATCAAAAATACCAAATAAACCAATGAAGATCATAGCTGAACTTTCATCAACGCACCAAAAAAAAACCCTAATGGAGTGCTCCAAAAAGAAAAAAATTAAGGCATGTAGTATAAATGAAAGCTGGGGAAATGGAGGTATTTTCGTTAATAATTATCTTACACAATATAATAGTAATCTATTTTTTAAATCTAGAATGTTTGCTAAAGAAAAAAACTTTAAGTTTGTTTGGTTTAATGACTGTAAAATTTTTATCAAAAAAAGTGAAACATCGAAAGCCAATATTATATATGACGAGACTGACTTGTCAACAATTAAAATATAATACATAAAAAAAAAAAAAAAAAAAAAAAAAAAATCTTAATTCATAATATATTTATATTTTTTTCTTTAGTTATGCCAATGTTTAATACTAATTTATTAAATCGTTTTTTAGATTATAAAACGCAATATTTTAACTCTATATCTGAATACTTATGTAAATTCAATCTATTTCATAATATGACTCTAAATTTACTTAATTGTAATATTAGAAGTGCAAGGCGTAATTTTGATGAATTTTTGTTATTTTTAGAAAATGATATACATAGTAAAAACTTAGATTTAATTATCTTAACTGAAACCTGGCATGATGTAAATTTTTGTAATTTTTCTATACATGGGTACAATACGTACTTTTCTAAACTTAAAAGGAACCAGAATGATGGTGTTATAATATTTATTAAAACTCATTTATGTGCTGATATCTTTGAATACGAATTTTTAGAGGCTAATATTATGAAAGTCACGTTAAAGTTATGTAATGTAATTTTTAGGGCTTATTGTATATATAGATCACCTTCGAGTGATAAAAACAAATTTTTGACCACTTTAAATAGTATACTGTCTAATGATGAATGTATAAATGGACATGTTATAATAATTGGTGATATGAACTTAAACATTATTGGATCTGATTGTGATGAAAATGAATACCTTGATACTTTGTCGGAAACGGGATTTAGGTCATTAATAAATGTTTATACTAGAACCCCAATTGGCCAAAGACATTCATGCTTGGATCATATTTTTATTAAATCTGGTAATGCATTGAACTCCAAAATTGAAGCAGGTGTTATTCAGACAAATATTACTGATCACTTTTCCACGGTTTTAGCAATAGAAATTATTAAAGAAAAGAGTGAATTAAATGGTAATGTTAAAATAATAAATTATAACGATCTGGAAAAGTTATTTAAAAATGAATCATGGGTGGATATCTTTAGTTGTAAGGATGTAAATATTTGTATGAACATTTTTCTAGACAAAGTAAATACTTTTGTCAAAATGTCAACAACAAAAAAAGTTTTAAACTCCAAAAATAAGAGAATTAGAGAGTGGATGACAGCTGGCCTTCTTTGCTCGGTGCACTTTAAACAAAAATTATCTCTAAAAGTTAAAAAATACCCAGATAATATAAGACTTGCTAAGTATTATAATAAATATAAAAATAAATTAACTACTATTATTCGAGCTGCAAAGATTAACTACTATAAAAACAAATTTCAGGAGGTTTCGTTTAATCCAAAACTCACTTGGAAGGTAATAAATGAGATTTTAAATAAGAATGATAATAATAATGATGATGTTAAAGTTATCAAATTAGATGATAAAACTTTCGATGTTAAAAATGAGCCACTCACTATTGCAAATATTTTTAACAACTTCTTTATAAATATTGGTAACAGCCTGGCTTGCAATATTGAGGAGTCAACTTATAATTTTGAGGAGAACATTACTCCTATATCTTTTAACAGTACATTCAATGAAAATATTAAAGAATCTGATGTTCGATTAATTATAAATAAACTTAAAGATGATACCGCTGTGGGTTTTGATGGTATCTCGGTAAAGATATTAAAACTTGTGATAGACAGTATTATAAGCCCTCTGACATTCATATATAATTTAAGTATTAAAAATGGTATTTTTCCCGAGAAACTTAAATTGGCAATAATTAAACCAATACATAAAAATGGGGATAAAACCTGCGTAAATAATTATAGACCAATTTCCATGCTTAGCAATTTTTCGAAAATTCTGGAAAAAATTGTTAAAAACAGGCTCTTAACATTTTTAGAAAAATATAAACTCCTCTCAAAACAGCAATTTGGTTTTAGGCCTGGATTGGGAACGGAAAATGCTTTATATAGCGCAACACAGTTTATAAATAACGCTCTAGACAACAGTAAGAAAGTTATCGCGATTTTTCTTGATTTGTCCAAAGCGTTTGATACTGTTAATCATAAAAAATTAATTAATATTTTACCTAATTTTGGTATTACTGTAACAAGCCTAAGTTGGTTCACAAGCTACTTGGAAAACAGAAAGCAAACTGTTCGTATTAATGGTATTAATGGTGTTGATTTATTTATAAACTGCGGTGTTCCTCAAGGAAGTGTGTTAGGACCACTCTTATTTATATTGTACATTAATCATATGTGTAATTTGGATATTGACGGAAGAATAGTAACATATGCAGACGACACCTGCTTACTCTATTGTGGAGACTCTTGGGGCGATGTTAGTACCAAAGCAACTCGAGAATCCAAAATTGTAGTGGAATTTCTAAAACTTAGAAGTCTATCTATCAATTTTAAAAAAACTATGTTTATGAACTTTTCGACTAATAATGTTAAAGATAATTTTGATGAACTTATGTTACATTTCTGTGAAAATGGAACTTTGTGTGACGGCATGGTTTGTCAAAAATTATTTAGAGTATCTAGTACCCGATATCTAGGTTTAACGTTTGACAACCACATGAGATGGAATCTTCATGTGAATAACATAGTCATGCGTCTTCGAAGTCTAAATTACAGTTTCTATAAGCTACGAAAAATTGTATCTGTTCATGTCATGAGAACTGTATATTTAGCTCTATATCAAGCTATATTCCAATATGGTCTGTTAATCTGGGGAGGACTCTCGGATAACGCTCTGAAACCTTTATTGCTTCATCAACGTCAGATAGTGCGCGTATGTTTACAAAAGACAGACTATGTTGGATCAACTAAGCATAACTTTAGGGAGCTCAATGTATTACCAGTTGACCTTTTATTCAAAAAAATGGCTATTTTGTGGGTGGTTAAACACCTAGATCAGTGGGTTGACAAAAATGTTTTCAGTAAAAAAAGAGCTTTTCGTTCATTTGATGCTAAAACATCACTTTTTAAAAAATCAGTTGGTCAAAAATTTGTTGATTTTCTCGGTCCTTTTTATTATAATTCTATGCCTTTCTCTATAAAGAAAAATGTTAATATTAATTATAATTATAATAATACTAAAAAATTAATTATTGAATGGCTGCATGTATCGTTAAATGTAACTTAGGTTTTAACTTTATGATATTATATTATTATAACTTTGTTTTCTTTTTTTTCTTCTCTCTCTTTCCATATTGTATAACTACGTAATTTGTGCTTTAAATTTATTTTTATTTTAAGCATATATTTTAACAATTGTAACTCCCTATCTTCGCCACAAGCTTAGCTTACAGAAGATAGGTAATTCAAATGTACAAATTAATGTATAATTGTATATTTGTTTTTAAATAAAAAAAAAAAAAAAAAAAAAAAAAATTACTCGGAAATATCGTTGACATTTATAGTGTCCTTGCTCAATGTCCCAAGACTTCGTGAACCATTCATTGTACATTTTATTTGTCATGTCCCAGACCAATTAGGTAGGTAGCTGTCACGAAAATTAATTTCCATTCTTTTAAAATTTAAAATGCAGAATTATAAAATATGTAAAAACAAAACTTAGACAAGCCCGACCGAAGAAAAAAGGTAATCAATTTTTATTTTTTAAATCCATCCAAAAGCGAACGCGTTGAATTTAATAAGTCCCTATGGTACCCACCAATAATATACGCGAACCATCTCAACGGACACAGGTCAACTGGTTTAAGGACGGCTAAACCGTTCGAATAATATTTTAATACGCCTGCAATTCTATTTACGGAATCAAATCATACTGAATGATAAAATATCTATATTCGAAATATTAATTATATAATAATACGTGTGAATATACATATAATATTATACATTATACATGCGCATATAATTGTATTCTGCAAAGTCATCACATAATTAGAAACATATCTTTATTATATTATAGTATACGAATGATAAGCATACGCCACTACGTTTTAATATAGGCACACTCCTGGTTTGGCAACCGTCCAAGTAGTCGCAACAAACAAAAAATGGACCGTTGCCACCGTCAGATAACGAACCACTGACATACACACACTGCAATAGATTGCGATGGCTCAATAAAATATATTTATGACACATTTAAAAAAAGACGTTAAAGAAAAAATAAACGATCAATGGCTATAAACGAAATGCCCGTTGCTCTTATGGGATTATTTGAAAATCGGTATGGGTATATATGACGCGTTAATGTCATATTCATAATATTAGGTATACACTATACCACTATACCACTCTTCGAAATTGTTAGTATAAACGTCAGCCGAAACGACAGGCGCCGCCCCGCAGTGTATAATTTGTATCGTGTATGCAATCGTGTTTTCCACTAATCACCAGCCTATCCGGTTAGATATAAGGACCGGTAGCACTGCAGGCCACTGATCATCCATTGATGTATTATAAATTAAAACATATAATATTATCATATCTATATTTGAAACATATCATATATATAATTTTTAACGTCAATCCGAAAACGGGCATGACAGCTGTTAATATTTGAAGCGAAAATCACGTTTAGTTTCCAGAGTCTGACTGACAAGCTATGTTTACCACAACGTGGATATAGTTCTCACCTAAATGAGAAAACCAATGAAGTTTTTTTTTTATTCGATGTTTCTTATTATGATTTATACTAAGGAGCGGGGTCGTGATTTTTTTTTCAAATAACTCATTATTCAGTGTTCCTGCTTTTTGTACCGAGTATACAGTGTGTATACATATTGTTTTGGTACCTATCAAAATAAAATAATAATAATAGGTAACGAACTGTACTTAATCAATCAACCAGTATAGTAAATTTGATGATAATATTATGTAGGTAGATTATAGGTGCCCAAGTTACCCAACACTGTAGTGTTATTTCAGATTATAATATTATAATTTATAGCACTTGAAATAAAATCGAAGTTTGCCCTATTTGTAACTTTTTTGTCACATAAGAGTGAAATCAATTGCTTCAATAAGCGAAAATTCTCCCCACCCAAGACACTGATTCATACATTACATATTAATATATCATCAAATTTTGCTAAAATGTTAAGACATGCACATTTTTATGTACTATAGATCGGCAAACTACAACAACGGTACGGCGGAATGCGATATGTCTGACATGGACAGGCTGACGGTAGCCGGCCAGGGGGCGTTCGAACCAGCTGCTGGCATTGACTACTTGGAAAACAACTGCGTGGACGAGCCGGTCAAGCTGTGCGAGTTCAAAAAGTTCCCAGGCCGAATACTGAAGACCGTCGATTCCGTGTACCAGGACGTGGGTTCTCTGGAGGACTGTAGGGAACTGTGCCTCAACTCGCCGTACAGGTGTCACTCGTACGATTACGGAGATACCGGCGAGCTCGTGTGCCGTCTCAGCCACCATTCCAGGGCCACGTTGGCAGACATACAGGTGACGATCGACGATTATTATGAATGATATAAAATACAATATTATATGCCTACATCATGTTTATAGCTCATGCGTTATACTATTAAGGCATTATTTTGCGCTCCATAACGCAAATAATTGCCACACGATTATTATTATCATATAATAATATTAACGCCAGATCCCGATAGTTGCGAAGGACGTTTTTTAGACAGCAATTATAAAAGCTTCTTCTATCGAGTCCATATTTAATAATAAAATATTTAAATATACATAATATGATGTTGTTGTACAGTATCTTGATTCTCGAGCTGTTATAGGTACTCTACCGACCTCTGTCTGGATATCGAATGTATCGTATTTTTCAAACGTCTGATTTTCCGTATACGAAAGAAGTAATACACAAAACGACATCAGATCTATTTATTGCAGAAATATTATTCTTACATCCGTGTACAAAATAGGTACTCTATGAAAATGAAAAATAAGATTCGATTGTTGAGTGAACTTCAATAATGAGAAAACACATAAATATATTTTTTTGTTATTATTATTTGTGTGCGTATTACTGTGTGCCGTATCCTTTCCCAAACACGTTCAGTTGTTGTAACCCACATTCGAGTGGTGCCAAAAACGGAATCCTTCCACACACAAATACATCGTACACACAATAATACTAATAATAATTGTAATAATAACAAACTAACGCCACGGTACGTTATCCCCGGGATGTCGGTGTTGTGGGGGACTTCTATACATGTCGACCCAGTTTTCGGTTGATTAGAATCGGTATGCCGATGAAAATTATGACACGAACGTTTATTTTTGATATTGCTATTTTCCGAAAAGAATTCTAAAATATTATCCTTTTCTAAAGGTGTCCGCCGTTAAGTACCAAGCCGACGGATGATGAATCACAGTATTTTCATTTTTCAACGATTTCTCTATAATATTATATTAACCTTGAACGTTGTATATGGATTATGAGCAGTGGAAATAAGTACTTTCATTCAAAACAGATTTAGCCCATAACATCGAAATCACAAAAAAGTCACAGCCAACTGACTCCAATTTCGCGGTTTTTGATAGAACATTATAATATTTTGATTAGGTATGATATGTCCAGACAGTTAATGGTTTCCAGAAAATAGAGGACGCAGTTAACGTATGCGACATTATTATTTGTCAGGTTACCTTAATTGGAATTTCCGATATATAATAATATTTTATCTTAATCATAATTTATCATAATTTATCTTGGTAAACGTAATTATACGTATTTAACTTCCCGTTATTTTAAACACAATTGTTTTCACTTAGATTTTTTTTATACAGTACATATAGTTGGTACTTAATTTAATTAAAACACATTTTTTACGTAAACAATATTTAAGTCAATTGTTTGAAGTTCTATAGCAACAACGATAAGTTTAACAGTACTTTTTGAATCGTTTAAAATATTTTAAAAAACTCGTCCACCCGCATGCAGGTCAATGACATTTTACATGATATATTATATTATGTATTATGTATTATGTATTATATATTATTATGTACACATCATTCTAAATCTGCGGGCGTAAAGAATACTAATTTGTCCGTAATCTAATACAATAATGCAATTTATAAATTTTTCAGGACCCCTACTTAGAAGTTCCAGAAGCTTCCACTTATGAGCTCAACTCTTGTTACAATATAAGCATCGAGTGCCGTTCAGGAGACATGGTAGCTAGGATTAAGACCAGCAAATTATTCAATGGCAAGATATATGCGAAAGGAAATCCAAACTCTTGTGTTCAAGATGTACGCGGAAGTTTGGACTTCGAACTCGAAATGGCTTACGACGACGTGGAATGTAACGTAAAACAACAAGGCCTAGGTAGATACATGAATGACGTAATTATCCAACACCACGACACCATAATCACCAGTTCCGATCTTGGTGTGGCCATCACTTGCCAATACGACTTGACCAACAAAACAGTTTCGAACGAGGTAGATCTGGGTATACAGGGCGATTTGAAACCAGCCATGACGGAGGAAGTTATTGTGGACTCACCGAACGTCGCCATGAAGATTACAGACCGACAAGGGGCTGACGTTAAGCCTTCGGCCGAAGTGGGAGATCCGCTGGCGCTTCGATTCGAAATATTGGACCCGAACAGCCCGTACGAAATATTCGTCAGAGAACTTGTAGCTATGGATGGTGTGGATTCCAGTGAAATCGTGCTGATTGACGCTGATGGATGTCCGACCGACCACTTTATCATGGGCCCTCTTTACAAATCATCAGACTCAGGAAGCGGAAAGGTAAGACTTTCGGTCCAAATTTAATAAATAATATTTGATGTTTAAATATGTAATATACACATTAATATGATTAAGTGGGGGCTTCTACGCCAAATCGAGCTTACAAAACAGTCGCTTAATTGATTCCATTATTTTCAGATTCTCTTATCATACTTCGATGCGTTTAAATTCCCGTCATCCGAAGTGGTCCAATTCAGAGCCCTGGTCACTCCTTGTATGCCCACATGCGAACCCGTTCAGTGCGACCAAGAAGACGCTTCGGGAGAACTCAGATCCGTACACTCGTTTGGCAAGAGGAGGCGGCGAAGGTCGACCAAGAGTACATCAGACGCTAGAGACGACATGCTACTCGTGCAGAGCATTCAAATCACCGACAAATTCGGATTCGGCGCTCAACAGGCATCGCCGGAAATGAATCCCACGGACACGACGGCTTTCAGCATAAAGCACCACGACTACAATATCGATAGTTTATGCGTTAATTTGTTCGGTGTTATAATATCGTGCCTAGTGTTTCTGGCCGTTCAAGTTGCCGTGCTAATAGCGTGGGCATATGTTTGGAACAAAAAACGACACGTCGACAAGTACCATCAACAGGATGGACTGTCCGTGAGTATGAGCATACCAGTGGGACGGACGGACAGCATGTGCAAGCTGTACGATACGGGGTACGCAAAACGATACTAAGTACTACTACTTTAAATGATCCATAATGAGATAGATTGCCATGACAGATTTTTTAACCTAAATTAGCTAGATACAATTATACAAATTACGAATTTGTTAATCATATTGATAAACAATCTTTTAAAAGTGACATCGCGCTCAAATAGCCTTAACGGTCAGAATAAATAAAAAAAAACTTTAGTATTTAAAAGACCGTTAACTTATATATAGGCTAGGCTGTTCGACTTTAAGTTTAAACGTTTTATCTGATTATAATTGTAATCAAAAAAAAAAAAAATTAGTTAATTTTCGGATCATTTGTAAGAGATATAGGTATTGAATTAAAGTCTTATTAGTAGAAATTATTTTATATATGTAAAATAATATATATAAATATCATAATTCATAACGATTATCCAATACAATTTTTTTTCAAATTAAACTTGGAAATGTTTCAAAAAAATATTGAAATAATATTTTTTCTGAACCTAACAAAAATTGAATTTTAATAAAAACTAGGTTTTAATCTACCTAATTAATAAATTCAAATTATCTCAATATTTTAATAAGGTACCTACTAATGATTACAATTTGTATTATAAACAAATAATAATATATAGAATTATTTGAATTATTTCTAACAACATTTCCAATTCTAATTATCCAATTGAATGATTATAAAACAATATACCACAACCGTTTATCATTATAGTATTCAGAATACTCTAAGTTCGCAATTCTATACATTTATATATTATTTGAAGATTTTACTTAATAATCAATAATACAGTTTAGCCAACAAATTTAATTTATTTTAGAATTAATTAATATGTAAGTATTTATTGGGCTGAAACGTAGACGATTTTTCCTACGATGAACATATGTAAGTTTGAAATCATTCAAACAAAATTTATATAAAACTCAAAATTGTTGGAGTCTTGTCTACGTTTCTCAAAGCTAAATTATGACAACTTTCCCTATCTTGTGGCATAAAATGTATTCAATAGCTTATATTTATAATTCATCTTTCATATTTTTACCATATATGAATAAATTAACCAATAACCATAGTGATAATTAACCAAGAAAAGGGAATATTAAGTCAGAGGTGAGTACTAATTTAAGTACTACACATAAGTAGTACTTTTGAGATGTAACTACTCATTTATAAATTAAGATTATTTTTTTTACTTTAAACATTATTAAAATAATATATATAATATATATAAATATTATATAACATAGTCTAATATAGTCTTCTAATTATTAATTATAATTATAATATTTATTGATAGTAGCTTTAAGTAATATTTGTATGGTAATTAAAAATAATGTAAAATTAAATTTAAAAAAATTGAACAAACATTATTATGCTGTTTTATTTTATTTTTTGGTCATCTCTTTTTTACCAAATAATGTACTTAATCATATTTACTCACCCTAAGTCGTTGATCATTTACTGTCCAAACACGCGATGCCAAATCATTAGATGCTGCCACTATTTGTCCACCTGTACTGTCAAACTCAACTGACATAACACCTGCATTACTACCAATCAACATCCCTTTGCACTCGGCAACACCTAAATTTACAGTTCAAATAAATTGATTGGTTATAACTTTATAAGATTTTAAAATGTATACCAAAATATTTAATTATTTATTATATACCTTTAGACACATCCCACAGTTTCACTTTACGGTCTTCTCCACCAGTTGCTACCATTCGATCAACTGGACTCCATTTTACAGCACTTACAACACCATCGTGAGCGTCCTAATCAAAATTTTAACAACACACTTCATTAATAAAAACTAGTTACTTAAAAAAAAAAAATTTTAAAAATAACAAATGATATTAACTAATGTAAGAACACAAAATTATACTTATAGGTATTGCAGGTAATTAAAAACATATTATTGTTATTAGTTATGGATTGACGAGTATTGATTCAAAAATCATTATAAAACAAAAATTTTAATTTTGCATCTTAATTAATAAGCATTCTATTCAAAATTCAAATAGTACAATAATGTGCGATTACAAATTTTGAAATACTTACAAATCGAATGGAAGCTTTGCTGGGCATGGCACATGGAGATGCCATAATTGGTCCAATACTATTGCTTACAGCAGTTGTCAAACATTCTGAAGTTACGCCACGCATATCGTTTGCTGCTTCTTTAAGTTCATTTTGCATAATGGCATTTCGTGCTCTATAAAATAAAATAACATAATAGATATATTTAAACTTTTGTAAAAAAATAATGATTATTATCGACTATTAATTATAATATAATGAATGGTACAATATTAAATTAATAAAAATTAAATAACCTTTAGGTACAACAAAGGATGCTATGAAAGGTCGACAAATATTATTATAAGATAATACCTAACACAATTCCAAACAACTAATACAAAATATATATATTTAGATTGTAATATTTTTATTCAGGTGGGTATAAACCAAATTACTAACAGGTTATGAACTGGATGTTTAGATACTAGTAACAACTCACTTAATTTACTATGAAAAATAAAAATAATATCAATATTTTTAAAGCAATGATAATTCATATTAAAAACAAAAATAATTTTACTATGTCTATAATAAATATATTAAGTACTCTAAAATTGTCCATCTACCTACTATAAAAATTAAATTTAAAACCCGTAAAAGTAGCTCTGCTGTATAGTAGTTTTCAAGTCATTGAGTACATCACTGGAATATGTGTCAAATATTACTATAAGTTGGTACTTACTTAAATTTGAGTACAAACATTGCAATTGAAAAATGATTCTAAGCAAAGACATGTATGTCAACTTTTATTTTTAAATATATTTTATAATTAATTTATATTAAGCACAATAACGATTACTTAAATGGTCGATTAGTAGAACCTACTTTTGATAATATGTAGAATTAATTATTAGCAAAAACATCGTTAATATTATATTATTAATTATTATAATATTTTATATATTCACATATCTAATATTGTTATTAACGTATACCTACGTATACGTACCTAAGTCAATACTGCATGTAGATTGTAAGTACTGTAGAAAGCTTTGATTGCGGGAATAGTATAAATAGGTAAAAATTGGTCTAATTACTTTTAACATTTGATTGTGAATAGAAAATAATAATATATATATTAAGTATTGGCGAAAAGTTTAAAGTTTCATCGATCAATATTTAATGTATTAAAACGATAATATATACGTTTAAATATCTAATTTCCTCAAAATAATAACTTAAATAATAAATAATAACAATTTTTTCACATTTTACATAAATTTACACAAACCTTTTTTAACAGTATACAAACATTGAAAATTCAAAAATTTGAAATGTCTACAACTTATAATCGCACACAAAGGCAAAAACATATTGTGTCTTCAAAATGCTTATGTAAATATTTGAATTATCAACAAATAGATACATTTACAATGGTTGAAAATATAAAGTCTCCATAGTTATTTATTAACAAAATTGAATATTTTGAAATTTTATTTATCGTTGATATTCCTGTTTTCCGTGATTATTTAAAATTTTTCCGATTATTTTGTACTTTTAATACTAAATGTCTTGAAATTTTGACACCCATCTCATATAATTTTCTACCAGAACCAAATTCAAAATTAAAATTAAAGCAATTTTCTGCTCCAAAAAGTGATGATTGACACAAAAAAACACGCACATCAATACATTATTGGAAAACCAATCAAATCTAAAATGTTTACCTTGTCAAAATAAATTTTTGTAGACACCTATAGAATACAATATTATTACCAACCATCAAACCAACATTATTAATTTCATAAATTAAATATAAAAATAATTATACTTAAATGTAATAGATATTTTAGGAATTAATACATATGCATTGATAGGACATGATATTTTATACTTAAATAAAAAACTTAATCCAAAATGTTTAGATTTTTTTATAGTTAAAACAAACATATAAATTGGTTTATGTTAAACTTTTCACATAGTTACTACAAAAAGTTGAACATTTATTTTAAAACTATTTATCTACCTAAATAAATAAACATGTAAGCTTTTAAAATCTATTGAGTTATTATTTAATAAAGCACAAAAAAAACCCATCATAAAAATGATTAGTACCACACATTGCTTGGAATTAAAAACAAAACTTAAATTAAAGTTAAATAATTTAAAGCTATACACTAAAATATAAAACTGATAAGACACAATATAATGAAACTTTTGTATTATACCTATACATTATACCTGTATATTTAGCAATTTAAAAAAAACATAATATTAGCATTAATATGTATAATTTATTAATCATATATTAATCTAATAATATAAGCCTAATTTAATGAAATAAAGGTAAACATATGAAAAAATAATATACTCTTATTTTAATACCTATTAAATTACCTACCTTTATAATTACCATTTACAACGTCTTACAGGAAAAGTTTATCTTTTGATGGTTTCAGTTAAAAACACTTAATATATATTTTTGTATTCTATGAAAATATTACAATCAAACTTAAACATTTTCAGAAGAAAAAAAAAGCACGATTGATTTTGAAAGAACCTTGTGATTTATATAAATAACACTTTGTCGTAATCTATTTGAAAACAATTAAACGTTTTTTTTTTTTTTTTTTTGTTAATTTGTAGTACTTTCAATTAGAATAATTAAAAAAATTACAACTGTGTCTCAATACATTATACGTATATTATTTTCGTTGAGTATCTATTTAATAACATGTTCTAATATTAAGAGGATGTGCCCTTCCTTCAATCAAATTAATTACAAGTTAGTATTTCGGCATGCTGCAGTCCGAATTCTAAAAATATGAAATATAGTAATAAACTATTGTTATACCATGGCCATGCAAGTTAATGCAGTTTTATCATTGTGCACACAAACATAATAATGCATCTGCATCCAATTAATTAACTTAGGTACCCGGTGCAAACATTGAATGCACCGCGTGCTAATTGTTACCTGACTAGATGGTCGTTTTCCTCATTCAACTTATCGGCGTCCTTAGATTTATAAGTCATTAACCTGACCACGAGTTCTCTGTTTTCATCCTGTAATGAAAATCGACGACGCGTTAGCTTAGCGAACATTTTGTGATTGTGCAGCGCGTGTGTCAACTGACTGGCACGCCAGTGGGGGCATATTCTCATGCAATATTATAAATAGACCCGTCTCAAAGCGCCACGGTTTAGGTCTTTAATTGGCATTACAGAGTATATTTTTTATTTTATTTTTTATTTTTATTTATTTAATTTTAATTTTTACAATCTGTAAAAGTATTTACAATAAGTGAAATTGATGTGGTAGAAATATTGTCCGGACTCACGAGTTAGGGGAAGCATTGAAGCATTGAAATATTCGTTATACAACAACTATAATCTATATAACACACTTACCTAACCATAATATTACAAAACAAATATTGCTTAATTAAAATAGCCAATAATACAAGCGACACAGGTAATATCTGAAGATCTAAATAATAATATATGATGATGAGAACAAGTTGTTGTAAAATGTATCCTTCCAGCCGGTATAATCACAACTTTAAAATTATTGAAAAAAATAATCGTTAATAACAATGAGGCGAGGAATGAACAGGCGTTACACTTCAGCCAGATAAATAGGTAGGTAGGTATGTTTGTATAAACCCAACATTGTGGATAAAACAGAAATCTTTTTATAGTTTTACGATAGCATTATTTAAAAAACACTAATAGTTTACAGAGATTATAAAACAATTATTCATATAAATTAATTTCATTCAACCATATTATGTAAACTATATTATTTTCGTTTAAATTTTTAATTATACATATAATATAACGTTCGCTATATCGTTTAGAAATAGAAAAAATGTCAACATTTTTAAAATAGCATTAACTTTTCAAAATTAAAATTTTTTTAAACAACCGCTACGATTTGCCTTCAGAAATATTGTCACAATTCAATTTTATAATAGGTATTTTTACTCTAGAACCAAAATTGATCAAGTTTTACTAAGACTGCGTAAACGAGTTTTGTCTATGTCGTACGTGTAACTGTGTAAGAAGGATGAGGGTGTGACGTCTCCTTAAGGATTTTGTTTGAATAACCATATTTTGTTATGTAGATACTTGTATTGTATATTTATATGTTTAACCATTTATAAGGGTGCAGGTACATATAATATAATTTTCACGGAGTATTGTATATCCAAGAAAAATATAATCTATTTAAAAACTCAAAATCATTCTTAAGTAATCCAACGCCTAACCTTGATACAAATTACAACCCAATGTTTTTTTTTTTTTTTATGCGAGTTTAAGTTAATAAAAGCTGCTCTGCTGTACAGAAGGTTACAAGTGGGTCACTGTATAATGGATGGTATTTAATTTGAATTCAATGATATAATAGCATTGTACCTATAAGAAAAACGATTCTGAGCGAAAACGGTTAGTCAGCCTATGATATTACGAAGTATATTTGATGATACTAAGGTGAATAAAGTAATTTATATATAACCTATTTAAGTGGAATCTTGTTTCAAATTTTCAATCCTTAACTATGAAAGTTGAACATTTTATAAATTTTTAACTACAAAATAATTATTACATTTTAAATTTGATAAATTTTGTCAAAATTCGAACTTAAAATGCTTATAAAAAAAAATTGTGGCCATGTATTTTTAATATTTTTCAACTGCTATTGTAACAATATATCAGGAGCCTTGCATTAAATTTTCATGCTTTTTTACCCAACCAATTTAATTTTATTGATATTTATAGAAAAAAAAACTAAAAAAATTAAAACTGAAAATGTCCGTAAAGAGCTCAACATAAGTCATAATATTTGGAAAATGTTATGGTGTATAGAAAATGCTAATATAAACATTCAGTCAAAATGTCATGTACCTATGGTCATTTGTTTAAGAGTTGCACCCAAAACCAAAATCGATTTTTTCGAAAACAGATTTTGTGTAAAATTTTTTCCGTTTTTCCTTAATTTTTCTTTTGTTTTTTAAGGCGCGTTTGAAAACTACTGGAAAAATTTTACTTTTGACCCCCCCAAAGTACCAACTAGATTCACTTTCCTATCAGAAAAGATACTGTTGAAGAAAATCCAAGCACTTAACGTAACCTAACCTAACCTAAAAGGTGATGACAGACACAAAAAAAATAAAAAATACATTCATCGCTCCGCTCAGAATCTAAAAAACAACCATCATTGTAAAATCAATACATTTATCGTTTCACTCAGAATCTAATAAGAATATGTATACTTTTAAATACAGTGTTTTTTCAAAAATGAATTCATTCTGGTAAGAAGTATATGAAATTTACGTATTGCTTACTATAGTTGACAATTGAAACTTTGAAACTTGACAAATATTTTTAAGTAATAATAATACGAGCAATATTTAAAAAAAAAAAATCACGACAAAAGTGTTACTACTGAGGGATTCCTTTGAACTTTCTCTTCGTGTTCATACAAGTTACAATTAACCATATATTATATGCATTGTAAATACACTGCAGGGTCGTTATGACGTTTGAAACGCAATGTTTGAAAAACCTTGTTTTAAACATACATTTAAAACATTTGTTTGAAACGTTTTGTTAATTGTTTAAAATAGTGAAAATCCATGTGAATATTGTTTTTTTTTTTAAGTTGTTTTATTTAAAACATCGTTTTGAACAGAGAAAAAGTTTAAAACAAAAAATGAAAAAATACACAAATTTTAAAATACTGCAGTAAGCGATGTGAAAATGTGCGTCTTTAAGTAAAATAGTTCCCGATGTCATAGAATGAAACTATTTCTCATTACATAAAATACCTACCTACCGCGTAGTTTTGTGTATCTGTTCTATATATGATATATCAATTGCATTAATGAGTGCATATCATACAATATATATTGAGTTACTATAATATATAATACCTACGCCCTGTATATGTATACAAAAATATATATTACGATAATATAGAAATGTAATCTATGATAAAAATTATATATTAATTTAAAGATGACACGCGAGAATGATTAACGATAAGACATAATCATTGACGGGTTATAATATACAAATATTGTAATATATAATAATAATCGATAAAATTATTAACGAACAGTTTTATAAAAAATACTGTGTTCTGAAATAATATTTTGAATTTAGAAGAAAATATTATATGTTGAAACCATATAGGTAGGTAGTTGTTAATCATAGATATAATATTTAAACATTTTAATTTGCCGTAGGTACTTTATTATGTCATTCAACACGCAGTATTTGTGAATCAAATGTATGTTTGTTTATTTTAAGTTAAAAATAGGCTGAATGATTTCCTTAACACATTTATTTTGGATAATATTTAGATTTATTCATTTGAAATGACGTAGTACGATCTAACAAATTTTGTCAGGGTCATATTTATACTTGTTTTCTTAAGTTAAAATCAAACACAAATTTTGAATAAAAAATATAAAGTATTATGTTGTAATGTAACTGCAATCGAGTAACTGCAATAAAGTCTATTTTCACATAAAAATGTAACACTTTATGTCATATTTCCTAATTTATGATCAACTAGTTTTTTAAGAGTTGTACGTATTATTATACAGAGAGAACATAGAAACTACAACATATGTACATGTGTTCTCGTATAGATCCCTAGATCCCCCTACATTTTATAATAGCATTTATAAAGAAGTTCCAATATTTCTCAACAGCCTTATTTGTTCATTATTTTATATATGTTAGAAAGAAGCAGATGCTCCTGGGTCACGATTCATTCTTATAATTAGATAAGAAGTATTAAGTATTATAAATTGTTTTGCTTTTCACATTCACTCTCAATGAATTATATAAATCTCATTTGACAAAATTAAATTAGGTTTCTAATTTAAACTATATTATAGTATTATTTATTTTGATAGTGAATTTATGTTTGTTAAAGTAAGTAATGGTTTTTAATACAATTGTTTAAATTAGGTTTAGGTAGTATTAGAAAAAAATATGAATCATATCAATTATGACCTACGGTTTATGAATATAAAACTCAAATGTGCTTAATATAATATTACCTACATTTTTAAGCTCTATATAAATAAAGAAAAATGTTAAAAGATTTTGGTAGTTTGCTTTTGAGTTTAAATAATAATTACTATAGCCTAAAAAAATTTATTAATAACTATAATATAATAAATAATAACAAACAATTACTTGTAAAGTCCGTAATTTTTCTTCAAGTTTAGTAAAAGCCAACTGTAGTGCTTGGTGCTCATCTTTGAGAACTTGATTTAATTGTTTTAGCTCAGAGTTATTTTTCTGATATAAAGATATTTCCGCTCGTAAACTAGCAACAATCTTCACATTTTCATTCAAACTGCAATCATAAAATGTCATACAATTTTTTAATAGTTTAAATTATAAAACAATAAAGAGTACTATGAAGCAACCCATTTTTTTCATAAAAATATTTGTTTAGTATACACTTATAGTAACAATAATTTTGGTATAATAATTTTAATTAATAGATATTACTCATACACATAATATTGTATGCTATTGATAAAAGTATTAATTATTAAGACTATATTGTTTAAAACTTAGCAACAATGTGTAAATATTAAAACTAATTCTTAATTTTTATTTTTATTATTTAAGTTTTCCTGACTTAACCATCTGAACTTTTTGTTAAATACATAAAATACCATCTTTAACGTTAGAAACAATAAATATAAATGTATATAATGCAAGTAAATAGAGATAAAAGTTACAATAATAATTAAAAAAACAATAACATAAACAGTAATCTAGAGGATATAATACATTCATTGTGAATAAAAATAATGAGAAATTCTTATTAATTTAGAAGGTCGTGCAGGCGTCCAAGTGTGAATCGGCGTACTGAAGGTGGGTCATTAATTTTTAAATGAGTTATAATTGATGAAGTAGAATGATATTTTAAAATTACAATATTACTACATTCAATAAAAACACATTATTAAAATTTACTACATCAAAAATAAATTATAGACAAACATGATGCTGAGAATTGAATTCATAAAATCTTTATAAATACTTATCATCTTAGTTAATAACTATGTATTTTTAATCACTAATTAAAGTTTACAATGTTAAATACTATAATATTTAATAATTTACTTTACAATTACTTTAAAATAATTAAGTATGGTCCTTATATTAATGTTCTCTTCTAATCTTTACAGCATGCTTAAAAAGCTACATAAAATAAAAGTACAAATAAAAATATAATTTGCATATTTAAGGCAATATAAATTGTTTGTATATTATTCAACAAAACATGATTTCAATTTCCTAAGTTTTCACTTGGTTGCTTAACAGCACATATTAAAAGAATACCTAATAGAAAATTAATTTCAAACATTGCATTTATCACATTATATTTTGGTTTAACTCAGCTACACTATTAAACATACTGCATACTTAACAAAATATTAGTTTACTATTTCCTTAATAGAAATATTTTCAAAAAAGTTAAAAATAAAATATAAAATTACTTTAAAGTATTATAATATTAACAAAAAATATCAAAATATTTTAAAAGGTATAATTTTAGCTAAGATGTAGAGTATACAATTTAACAGAACCGTACCAAAAATAAAATTTACCAACTATACATAAAAACATTCACAAGATATCAACACAACTGTATATAATATACTATCTATACAATTTTCTAGAACAAATATCTCTACTTGTTTCCGTTTATAAATTACTAAAGTTCTGAATTCTAAGTTATTTTATAAATATACATTATTCTTTAAAATATAAGATCATACAAAATAGTACATAGAGTAGACAAATGTTAAGTTGTACACAATTTTACAAAACTAGACTTAAAATATTTTTAAAAATGCTTGTTGTTTTCAAAACCCCCTGTCTGAATTTATGTAAATAATAATTGTAACTTCTCAACTTGTTGTCATGTTAATCATATTATTTGTTTTTTCTTCACTTGTGCTTATTGTAAACCTTAACTAACATATTGTACATTTCTCTAGTTTAAAAAAAAAAAAAAAAAATGACTTAATATACTACTTATCAAATATGACTCATATTAAATTTTCAGTACAAGTGTGCTCTTATTTAAAATGAAATAGTCAAATAAACAAAAAAAATTGTATTTGAACTAAGTACCTATTTATATACAAATGACGAATTAAAAAATAAAAAAAAAAAAAAAATATGGAATCCATTAATGAGTACTCAAATGATAATACATAATGAGAACATTTATTACATACTTAAACAAAAAATTATAAAATTAAAAAAATACTTCTTACAATTATTAACAGTCATACAATATTTCCATCCACTAATAATAACAATTAGTTATTATACCACTAAGGCCGGGTTCCATAAAGAACAGTCTGTACATTTGTTACCGGCTCTGTAATTTACCGGCCCTGTAAGGTTTGAATGATTGTGCAAACTATGCAATTGTTGCATAAAGAAATTTTAAATTATTGATAACCGTGGTTACCAAATAAATTAAACCGTGTTAAAATGTGTTTTTATCATCCTTTTAATTTAATAATATAATATTATTTTAACCAATCTGTAAGTAATTACAGATGCAAAATCCTATCTGCAGTTTATAGGTCCGGTAGCCGATAATTTACAGAGACGGTAACTTTACCGAGCGTTCAAGCAACACCTAATTTTATTTATAGTGCCATTAGGCGTTAACGCACTTACAGATCGTTTATGCAACCCGGCTTAATAGTAAGCACTTAAAACTAATATTTGATTATGGAATTAATTTTTAAATACAATTAACTACCTACCTAACTTGTTATTGCATTTATAAAAAATGATTGAGTTGCTCATTGTTAAAGTTAAAGTATAATTTAGTTAAAGTATAATGTACTTTATACAAAAGCGTAAAAAGTATAGGTGTTTTACGGCACTTAAATTAAAATAACATACATTTTAATATGTTCTAAAAAAAAAAAAAAGTTGTAACTTATAAAATAATTTTTTTTTGCATACATATAAGCAAATAATATTGTTTACATTACTGTTATATTACCATATAAAAAAAACTAGACATAATAAAATAGAATAGAATTTATTCTAAAACATGAATATAATATTAACCAACTTTTTTATGTTACATTAGTAACAAAATTACTATGATTCAGTTAACAAGATTGTGTAAATGTAGTTTTATTACTACCATTAATAGCATCATCATATTAATTTATTTATTTATTAAGTAATAACAGACAAATAATTCAACAATGAGGTTTTATTCAAGTGTTGAATAATTAGTACACAATCACAGACCTGTGGTTTTTACTTGTAAGAGTTTGCTCGGTCAATTGTAATTTTGCATTTAAATCTATAATCATTTGAGCATTTTCCCCACGTCTACGATGTAATTCGGTCAATTCTTCTTGTTGCAGAAGCAATTTTTGTTCTAAAGCCGATATTTTTTCAGAGTACACATAATCACCACCAGTATTACCGCGTATGATTTGGGATTCTAGCTGAATGTTTTGTGCTCGCAACAGAAGTGAACTGTCATAAATTTTATTATCTAAAAATTTAAAATAACCAAATTGTAATAATTGCAATGGAATCAAGTCAGAATTGGGTATACTCACAGAAAGTGATTAGATTTTGAAAGCTGGCTGTCTCCCTGTAGTTTCTGCTCTCCAGTTGTTGGCGTATGACTGCCTTCCAGTCCATGACGGTCACTGTCTCTGATTCAAACAAAACCTATAGCGTGAATCTCAGTCGACGGACAGCCACCGGACAAACAATTATGGCAGAGACAATATCGCAGCAGCATCCAAACCAAGTACATCACCAACGTCTGAACATGGTCACAACCTACCCTGAAAACCCGTTCAAAATTAATGCTGTTTTATTGAATCAACGTATTGGTTCGACAAGTCGAAGCGATGTACAGTTGACCATTTAGTACGTACTTTGACGAAGTCGAATCGTAGTCGTCGTTACACGGGGCCGACTGTGAAGATTCACATAGATCTCAATAAATAATAACGAATAATAATAATAGTAATAGTAACAGGTAGTGCACAATAATAATATTATTAAATTTTTGAAAAGAAAAAAAATGATAAATGATAAGAGCCGTTTGCGTTCGCAGCGGTAGGCCGGCCACAGGTACCCGGAATGGTCGGCGGCGGTCTATACCGCGCACTATTGACAACCGCCGTGGTAACGGTAACGACCTGTGCGCTCCATCCGACCAATTCACCCATCGCACTGCAACCGCGTCAGCATCGCGTGATAACGGCAACGCGCGACGCTATCTCAAAACGTGTTGCACAATGCACAACGGGCGCTTCGATGCATTGGGTATTTTTGTCTAATGGATCATAATATTATGATTTACGATAACATTATGTTATGTACTAATGTGTAGAATTACACATGACCCTGCAATTTTTTATTTGCGTATTATTTTTCGTTACGGCCATTGATTAAATATACGTATACATATTTAATCAATGTTACGGCATCCGCGAATGCAATTTTTCTGTTCTCGTTACATGCGGAAAAGAAGCGCGCGCCACCGCCCATCGTTGTTGATATTATGATTTATATTGATATATTATTAGGAAGGTATTTAACGATCGTTAGTCGTTGACCTGTTGTAGGACGTGTGAAGTATAAAATATGTATAATACCATAATCTAAGGACGTGGGGTATAGTTTCCCCCACCACGATGACGATTCATTTTTTTTCTTCTCGTCCATTGGTCGGAATACCTATCAAAATAAATTTTATAATAATACAGGTACGCATTACATTAATATATTATGTATTATTCAATAGGTATTATACAAACACGTAACGTACGATTCGCAATATCGCGCACTCGATGAGACGACACAATAGTAATAATATTATTGGTCAACAAGAGTTAAGACGATCGCGGGTTACCTCATAGATAATATCTATGGGTTACCTTCACGGCTTCGCCTTATAAGCATCAACTATCAAGCATAATATTTATTATTATTATGATCCAAAACGCGTTTATATTATGACTTAATATAATAATATGTACAACACGCGTTACCCACAATTTATTATTGCTCAAACGATAAAATAAAATAAACTGTAAAATAGGTAGTATTATAGGTGTACAGTGTAGGTACATACTACATACGTTGCACCGTAAAGTTTTAAATTAATTATAATATCGTTTTGTTTATATCGTCGGCTAAGACGTAATACCTCGTAAGTCAAAAAAAAGGTATTTTGAGATATATGCATCAAAATTTACAGAAAAAAATATGGAATATTTTAATGGTAATATCACGTATAGCTCATAATTTCCAAAGAGAATATAAACTTGGACGCAATATCGCGTAAATCAATTATCAGTATTTTGTCAGAAATACATCGTATCTCCTTGGACAAAATATTAATAAATTACGTCGGCTGGCACACTGATACAGCGGCAACTGCAAACAAACGGTTCTGTTGCCACAATACCATCAATTTATAAATAGAAATAATAAATATTTGTAATAATAAAATATAGTATTCATAATCAATGGTAATACTGATTATTTATTAAATCTATGTTATCAATAATATTTTGATAGAAATATAGGTATCACACAGTATGTTTGAAGTTTGAAGTGCGAATTCCTCATTTTAATTCAGTTAAATTTGTTTATTACATATTAACTTTATCTTGTTTGTAACTATTAAGCTGTTCAAAATAATTTATAAGAATGGATGAAAACGAGATTGATTTTCTGTTAAAAGAATTGGATAATGAAAATCTACGTAAGTTTCAAAAACATTATAGTTTAATTTTAATGTACATTGTGCCTATGCCCTAACATACATTAATAGTATCATAATTAGTTACAGTAGTAACCTTTTTAATATATTTCTTCTTTTTACAGAGTGGGATGAAATAGTCCAAGATAATAATAATATTAGTACGAATTCTATCAATATTGATGATAATTTGCCTAATGAAAGTAAGTTTTGCAGTAATACCTATAATACTTTATAATATTTAAATTACATTATTCAATAATTAATGTAATTTATTTTGTAATTTCACAGTTGACCCTAATATAAACCAACTGGATAATAAAGAAACAGAAACAGTCCAAGCTTTTAGTATGAATACTATAAACTGTAACAATATAGATGATAATTTGCCTAATGAAAGTTAGTTTGCAATTGTAAAACATTTAAATTGCATTATTCAATTAATATAATTATTTTGTAATTTTTACAGTTGACCCTAATAATATTAACTTACTTTATACTAAAGAAACGGAAAATTTGTATAATTGTTCAAGTAATATTATACCGAGTACTACTGATGTTATGGATCAACACAATGATTTTTTACATTCTGAGAGTGACAATAATGGTTCAATAGACATACTCAATGGTGATATAAATGAAAAAAGAATTAGAAATAAGAAAAAAAATCTAAGCAAATGGAAAAGAAATTCAAATCAAATACTACGTATGAAAGGACAATCATATTTAGGCTATACACGGTCTAAAGAAAAGGTAATCTCTCACAACACAAATAGACAAGCTAAAACTATGCTCCCTACATGTACCAAAATATCTTGTCAAAGGTCTATTAAACGAAAGTGTAATGAAATACTGGAGGATGACAGGTTGAGGGTATTCACTGATTTTTGGTCCAATCTTAGCTGGTCAGAAAAAAAGATTTATGTTACTTCCTTAGTAAAAAAGACTAGTGTTAAACAGCGAAAAGTTGATTCAACAGTGTCACGAAGAAATAGTTCTTTTTCCTATTTTTTAAAAGTTAATGGAGAACTCTTGAATGTATGTAAAACAATGTTTTTAAACACCCTAGCATTGGGTGAGTCACAAGTTCATAATTGGTGCATAACAAGAGAACAATGTGAGCTAAGTCCAAATACACCAAAAGTTAGATGTTTAAGGGATAGTCCACATAAAAAAAATAGAAAATTTGTAAATAAATTTCTTGAACAAATTCCAAAAATGCCCTCTCATTATTGTAGAACATCAACTTCTAAACTTTACCTTGAGCCATACATACAATCAAAATCCCAGTTGTATAACATGTATATTGAGATGTGTAATAATGAAGGAAAAGAGAATAATATTGTTTCAATAAACACCTTTTATGACATTGTTGAAAAAAATAATATATCTCTATTCAGCCCCAAAAAAGACCAGTGTGACACTTGTTGTTCTTATCAAACCAATAATATTAGTGAAAAAGAATGGAAAGACCACATTGAAGATAAAAATCAAAGTAGAGAAGAAAAATGTCTGGACAAAGAAAAAGCTTTACTTAATGAAATACTGGTGTTTACAATGGACCTGCAAGCGGTTAAAGTCTGCCCATATCTTAAAGCAAGTGCTCTATATTATAAAAGTAAACTATGTGTGCATAATTTTACTACATATAATTTGGCAACACATGAGTCCACTTGCTATTGGTGGGATGAGACCCAAAGTGACCTTTCAGCTTCATCATTTGTGAGTTGTATTATAGATCAATTAACAGAATGCCATAACAAAAATCCAAATCTAAATATAATACTCTGGAGTGATGGCTGCTGCTACCAAAATAGGAATAATGTACTGTCAAATGCACTGTTAGAGTTTGCCATAAACAATAAAGTTGTTATTGAACAAAAATATTTGACCAAAGGGCACACCCAAATGGAGTGTGACTCAGTTCATTCCAATATTGAACGCAAGTTGAAGAATGCAGATATTTATTTACCTTCGGATTATTTAAAAATTACACAGAGTGCTAGGAAAAAACCTTTTCCTTATAATGTAAAATGGTGTGATACATCATTTTTTAAACAATATCAAATTGATTTAAATAGATATGACTCATTAAGACCTGGAAAATCAGCTGGAGATCCAACTGTTACAAATATAAAGTCACTCCGATACAATTCAAATGGCACTATTGATTTTAAAACTAATTTTGATGATGAGTACTCTGATCTCAGATTGGCTCAAAAGAAAAGAAAAAAAATGTGTAAAATAACATCTCCTATTATTTATGGTCAGCTTCATGCAGAAGAATTGAAAATTCCCAAAAGTAAGTGGGAACATTTACAGCAACTGAAAAAAGTAATACCTAATGATTGTCATGAGTTTTATAATCATATTAAATATGATTAAATATTAAAACTAACTTAACTACACTATTGTAATTAATAATATAATGTCTATTTTTTAATGTTATGAAATATAAAACCAAGGCTTTAAAGCTTTTTTTTCTACTTATTTATTTTTATTTTTTTGTATTTTTATTGATAGTAATTTATTATAATTCAAGGTCTGAATGTTACTATACTAAATAAGTTCTGTTTTAAAATAATGTTTACTTTTTAGTATTTTAATTGTAACTATAAAATTTTAGTTCTGTTTTAAAATAATGTTTACTTTTTAATATTTTGATTGTTACTATACATTTTTAGTTCTGTTTTAAAATAATGTATGGTGTTATATTATAATTATAATTCAAAGTCTGAATGTAACTACAAATACAAATTTAGTTCTGTTTTAAAATAACGTTTACTTTTTAATACCTTGATTGTTACCTATAATTATTAATTATGGTTTAATAATAAATTCAAAAGGCTGAAGTATTAAAAGATTCAATAAATAAAAACCCCTGATCCAACAATTTTTATTTAACAATGTAATTACATCA